ATCAGGCCTAGAGATTTGGAAGAGTTCTTCTCTTCTGTTGGCAGGGTATGTCTTTTGTTTTAGTATTAACGTTACATTGACCATTATTTAGGTCAGAGATGTTCGAATCATAACGGACAGCAAAACAAGGCGTTCCAAGGGTATCGCCTATGTAGAGTTTTGGGATTTAGAAGCTGTTCCTTTGGTAATTCGCGGTATAATAGATAAACATGGCATGTGCCTTGATCAAATCTCTTTTTACTTCCCCGAATGTTAAGCGAGGTGTAGACATGAGGCTAAGCTTTGTAGTGACTTTGTTCTAGGTTTTAGCTGGTGATAATTTCAGTTCAGTACTGAGAGCGGTGCATTTCGTATCAGTATCCTTTTCTGGTTTTGATTTTCGTCATTCTAGTGTTTATTGTCTTGTTAGTATCCTTATATTTGAAGGATGTACTGCAGTCAAAACTACTTTGTTGACATCAGCTGTAGCTTAGAAATAAATTATAAAACCATAATTTTTACTCACGCAACTGAGAAACACTTTATTTGCTTTCCTGCTTTATCACGCACGCTGGCTCAGTTTATTTCTCAATGAATGCAACTAAGAATTGCGAAATTTTTACGCCTTTTGAAATTCGCAGTTCATAGATGTTCCGCTACCCTGACAGGCGCACCAACACTTTTTTTACTTATTCCCATTTTATTTTCCACATGCTAGTGCTAAATACATAAATAAGTAGCTCTGCGAAGTCAGGCTTTTGAATAAAATATGACAGATGGCGAATATACAGCAGAGCGGGTCAAAACAACGGGCTTAAGTTTCAGAAAGTTCCTAAAGATACAGTTCTTTCAACGTCTCCATTGTTTCCACGAAATATCAGCCATTACAGCTTGGCCGTTCATTTCTTATTGTTTTTACGCAGCGCATCAAATTGCCAAGTTGTCTAGCCAATTGGATATTCAACTTGGCCTCTATTCTGTTCTCCCGTGGCTATTTGCTTCTAGCGCTACTTGTATCGAAGTAATTTCCTTGTTAACGCTTCAATAGACACAGAACGAATGGAGCTGAACCTTGTATTTATTTCTGAATGAATTTTTTAATGACAGAATGATAAAGTTCTAGAGCCTTTTCATACTTATTCGAATCTC